AGTGGTACAGTCAGAGAGGAGTGGAAAGGTTTTGTCAAAATCCATAGCACATTTTCCTTATTAGAGCCAGGCTTGGGTAGTCAAGATGAGAAAGAGCCTTTAAGAAAAGAATTTCATTTCCTGTGTTGCAGGCTGCTGTATAAGAGGGTGCCTCAGGAGCAAGAGCAGAATTTTTCATGAGTGTGTTGTGTATTAAAGCAAGAATTTCTCCCCGTACATGGGCCAGAGATATAAGAAAGGATCATAGAAAAATTTGGGTTGGAAGGGAACTTAAAACCAGCCTGGCTCCAGAGCAGAGAGGTCCAGCCCTCTCATCACATTTGTGGCCTCCTTTTGACTTATTCCAACAGTTCCACATCCTTTTGATGCTGGAGGCCCCAGGGTTGAACACTCCAGGCGGCCAGCAGAGCACAAAAGCATCAAATGAGAGCCCTGGCTGGGAGTGAGGCTGTGGCTGTGAGGTTATTTCATTTCATTTCACTTCATTTCAGCAGCTGGAAGATGCAATTCCTCTCCCTGTGGCATCTCCCTCCAGCAGCAGCCTCTGGCTGGGCAGGGCACTGGGGGCTCGGCTCAGGCAGGGTTTTCATCCCCAGCAGCTCCTGAAGCCACTCCCTGCATGGCTCTGACTGTGCCAGTGACACAAAGGGGCACAGCAAACCAGCCAGGAGTGCGAGGGAAGGGCCAGCAGCAGGGAAGTGGTGACTGCTCAGCAATTATATTTATATTTATATTTATATTTATATTTATATTTATATTTATATTTATATTTTTATACTTATAATATTTAAATTTATACTTTATAATTTGCATTGTAAATTTTTACAATTTTAAACATATTTTAAAAATATTTTTTCTATTTTAATTTATATTTTATTTTATAATTTATATGTATAATCTTTATATTTATAATTACTTTTGCTTTATATCTATATCTATATTTTATATAGATATTTAGATATAAATAGCTATAGATATATTTATATAGCTAGATTTATTAATATAATGAATATAATATAATATAATATAATATAATATAATATAATATAATATAATATAATATAATTAATATATATGGCTGAAAGAAACTGAAGTTCCCTGGGGTCTATATCTATATTTTATATAGATATTTAGATATTTATCTATAGCTATATAAATATATATATCTATTTATATCTAAACATATACATCTATTTATACCTAAATACATATATATATAAAAGATAGATATAAATAAATATGGATATAGACCCCAGGGAACTTCAGTTTCTCTCAGCCACAGATTTGCTGCATGACTCAAACAAGTTGCTGAACCTCCTCTTGTTTCTCAGTTCCACACTTCCCATCAAGGGACATTTGTTTGCTCTGCCAGGGTAGCTGGGATTATTTAATTCATTAGGGGAGTGTCATGTCAAGTACATCGATATAAACTAAAATACACAGAATGGGGTTTGCCCATTTCCTTTAATTTTTGAGAACAAAGTCAATAGATGAAATTTTGTGCCCTTCAAAACCAGACAGAATCTTTCTTTATGTAAAATGTTACATAAACCTTAGTGGTTGTTCATTTTTATTGTATTATTTTTAATAATTCTGCAAATATTTCAGAAAAGGGCAGTTTGTTCCTACTGCATAAAAAAATCATCACCACAGAGCTGGGTTTTTGTACATTTCCCCCTCATATAATTTCACAAAAACTCCCAACCACAATTAGGAAATTTACCCTCCCACTTCCCTCCCCGCAAAAAGAAAAAAAAATTATTATTTTTTTTAAATCAGTAAAGTGTTAAACAAATCAGCGATTAGGAGCACACAGAGCAGTAACACCGGGGATGCTTTAGAGCACATGAAATGTGTGAGCTGCAGGCCCTGGGCCAGGACTCACACAAAGCACAGGGAACCCTTTTTGTCCTACAGCAGCGTTTATCCCGATCCCAATGACGCTTTAGGGTTTTAGCTTTTGTATTTTTCAATTCCTGTGCTGCATTAGTGCATAATGTAAACTCCATACAGAGTGCTGGGTACTGTCTTCACATTTTGGGCAGACACAACAATTCCTCTCTAGGCCTGGAATCCAATGACATCTCACTGCCTCAGGCCCCAAAAAGGATAACCTAAAATGGGAGAGCAAACTGGGGGTAAATGACTTCATTACCTGCAGCTGGAATTGGAGCATTAACCCCTGATATGTGAATGGCCAAACTGATAATTGTGTGAAAAACTCGTGCCCATGGCCCACCTTGGGTGCAGCCTCTGGAGGCTGTGGCTGCCCGAGCTGTGCCTGCTGAAGGCTTTCATGAATCCACACTTTATTCTCCTAACCTTGCCTGGCCTCTGCTCTGGGGGCCCCCCCAAATCATCAGTTTCCTGTCCCATCTGGGGTGCCAAAACCACCAAGGCAACACCTCAGCCCGTGTGGGGTCACTTTGTGCCCAAGGATGGCCCCAGGAGCAGGGGCTGCACCTCTCGGCACTTCCTCAGAATCCTGACTGCTGAGGGAATGACTCTGAAATCCAGGCCCAGCACAGCCTAAAGGTTCTCAGGAGTCCTGAAATCCAGGCCAAACACAACCTAAAGATTCTCAGGAGTCCCAAAATCCAGGCCAAACACAACCTAAAGGTTCTCAGGAGTCCGAAATCCAGGCTGAGCACAACCTAAAGGTTCTCAGGAGTCCGAAATCCAGGCTGAGCACAACCTAAAGGTTCTCAGGAGTCCCAAAATCCAGACCCAGGACAAACTAAAGATTCTCAAGAGTCCTGAAACCAAGGCCAAGCGCAACCTAAAGGTTCTCAGGAGTCCTGAAATCCAGGCCCAGCATAACCTAAAGGTGCATCTCCCTTCACTGATCAGAAAATATCTTCACATTCTCCCTGGGAGGGACCACAACCCACCCCAAGGCCCACTTGGTTCTGCAGCCTGCGTGGTTGGGGAGAAAGCCCAGGAAGGGAAACTGGGTCACAAATATTCCTGGCTTGTTGGGACTTCCAAAACTGAGAATTCCTAGATTTTGGAGTGTTGATGTCAATTCAGTTTCTTCACTGTATAGAAATCAATCTGTGGTTTCAATTCTGGAAACATTTCTCTCCCAGTTTTCCCATGGGACTGAGTTTTGGCTCCCTCTGAGGGAGGCACAAAATGATGGTTCTGTGCCTTCCTAAGTCCAGGTTTCTTCCAAATGTTCTGCCCCAAGCACCTCACAATGGAGACATGAAAATAGGACTTACAGGATCTGAAGTCCTCTGCTAGGCTTCCACCTTGCCACACACAAAATAAACCCCTACAAATAAGATAAAGTAAAATTAAATGACTCTGTTAGATTTAATGAAGTGACTCGAGACAAAACAGTTCCATAAAAATGCTTTTTTTAAGAAGTAACAGCAAGAGCTCAGAGAAGTGCTGACTGCAGGTACAGTTCTAGCCAATATTAAGATATATTTAGTGATTTCTAGGAAAATATTTCCTTGGGAGAAGGTCAGGAGCCATTTCTGTTGCTTACAACTCCAGGTGCTGTTTATGATCTCCAAGGGGTTGGAGTTGCAGAGAAGGCAGCAGGTTTTATGACATTTCTTCTGGGCTGTCTCTTGTCTCTGCCCCCAAATGCTGTGCAGTGCAGGATGCTGTTCCTCCACAGGTTTCTCACACAACCATCAAATAACAAAAACAGGCCAAGAAAAAAAAAATGTCCAGAACAAATAACAGTGCTTGGAGTATGATCAGGTAAAAAAACCACATCCTAAGACAGAGTTTAGGAGTTTCCATACTGGGGCATCTGCACACCTCCTGGAACAACCATCCAGCAGCTGGATGCACGTACAAAACCAGCTTTAAACCCGGGATTTTAACCCTAACCAGTCCAGAGCAAGTCCTGACTGACAAAGCCAGCACTGCTCCCTCTGTGCCACCGAGGGGTCACAAGAGCCCTGTGTGAATCCCCTCCCTGCACCACACAGAAATGACCTCCTGGGGCTCCTGCACGGATAAAGGACATCACCCCAACCTTCTGCTAAAGAAATCCCTGCTCTGACTTCAGACTCCATCCCATCCAGGGCAGAGGAACCTGAGGGGACCTGGGAAGGGCCCTGAAGAGGAATCAGAATGCCCTGAATTGCAAGGATCATCCAGGCCAACTCCTGGCCCTGCACAGGACGCCCCAAACCCCACCCTGTGCCAGCAGAGGAGCTGTGTAGGGATCCACATTGGCACTGTAGGATCCTGGATTCCTTTGGAGGGGAATGAGTTGTACAGACAGAGAGCCCTAAACCTGGCCCTAAACCTGCTCTTTTCCCCTCAGGATATCTCCAGCTCAGTGAAATAACCTTGACCTCCTGTTGGAGGAGCACACACAAACTCAGGTCACTCCAGGGAGTGGGAAGTGCCGGCCAAAATTCAGGAGCAGCCACCCACGGAGGAAAATGGAAAAGTTTGGGAGTACATCCTGAGACAGACCAGGAACTCACAGCAGCAAAATTCAGAGCCCTTCAGAACCAGCCTCTATCCAATCTCCAGGAAAACTGTGGCTCAGGATGGGCCCATTCCACATTTCCAGCCCTGCTGAAGCCAGTGGAGGGTGGAGGGAAGGAGGTGGGAGCAGCTGAGGCGCTGTCAGCATCACCAAACTCGCCCTGAAAGGAGATTTCTTCCCAAGCAAACCACAGGACAGGCTGGTCCCCTTTATATACACACATGGACAGCTGAAATGGGCTGAAATGCTTACAGGTTAGAAGGTCTATACAACATTACACCTGCCACAAATCAAAGTAGAAAAGTTTTACAGCACATTATACAGGTCCCTCTAAAGTCTAAAAAAAAACCAAAAAAAACATTGACTGGAATCACCATATTACAAGAAGTCATCACTAACAGACCATATAATACTATTTCTTTTTCTTTTACAGAATCATTACAGATAGAGTAATTTAAAAAAATCACTTTTTAAACAAGTATACAATTTTCACTTTAAAATTAACTGGTTAATAAAATTCTGTGCAAAACAAGCCAGCCTCTATAATTAAGTGAATTTATTTATTTCTTTATACAAAAAAAATAAAACAAGAAAAAAAAGTTCTTTCAGAAATGTGTCTCCTTTTCTGTGATGGTGGAAATGGTGCCATCTCCTTTCAGTTTGGCATCGCAGTCATTTATTGCTGCAATGTAGGCTCCTCCTCCGAGCTTGCCCCGCATTTTCAGGTCTGAGCTAGGTGTAATCAGCTTCCTGAATTTCTAGAAAATTGGAGAAATTGGAAATCATTATGTTTTCTTGGCCACAGACACAGCTTTCTTTAACAGATCCATTATAAAAGGCTTTACTCCTGCATGTCTGCCTCTCATTTATTTCCCTGTTGTGGACACACCCTCAGACCTGCAGGCTGCACAATTCTGGGTAAATCCTGCTAGACCAAAGAAGGCAAAGCTCAAACCAAAGTGAATTTTCATGCTGATTTAATCATCCCTTTTCATGAAGACTCTCAGCACTCTGTCTGTTCTACAGGTGCATTTTGTTTCTCATTTTATCATCAATGAAGTCCACTGGAAAAAGCAAATAAACCAGAGACAGCCGAGGTGTGTTGAGCTGCGATAAAGCAAAATCTACTTTCTCTTTTCTAGCAATGACATCCACAGCAAGGCTGCTGCTCACAGCAGGAAGTTGGCTCCTCAAGAAGCTCCCAGCTGTGATTCAAAGAATCTCTTGTCATCCTGGCAGGGAAAAGATAACGACCTGTCTGCAGTGCTGCAGCTCCAGCAAAGTCCGCTCACCTGCAGGACAGGTGGGGCTGGTCCACTGAGGAAATATTTAATGTTTAGATTTGTGCAGACTTCCTTTTTTGACTCTCTGAGACAACGGACAATCCACTTTTAGTTTATATACCAGTAAAGATTTCCTAGGCAGTCTCCAGGCTGTGTTTAATCAGCTGAACAGAGTCTTTGCAATATGGACAAAATGAGACTTTTCTGCAATGTTGGAATTCCAAATGGCTGAAAAAGATTTGTATTTTTGTTCCTTCCACTATTGCTTCCTTCACTGCCTTTCTTTGGAGCTCCCACAGAAACAAGCAATCTTCCAAGCTTAAATTTGATAATATAACCTCAGCCTAGACCTGAGCTAACCTGAAACCAAATGTCAGAAAATTCCACTGAATCTCTTTATTTGCCTGAGTTTCTCATTTAGAGAACTGAAATTAGGAAAACTGTCCAGAAAATGGGAATGTGGGCAACCCAGCTCCTGGAGAAAATCCTGGCAGCACAAAGAAAACTATGAAAAAAGGGAATGGCTGGTACAAACCTTGAGGGATTTGGGTGATGTTACATACATTTTAAGCTACAAATTGTGCTGGGACAGAGCACCTTAAATTGGTTAATTTACCACTGGCAGCAAAAAACCCAACAGGAATTCAGAACAAAGCAGGGAAAGTTCAGAATTCTCTTTCCAGCAGCGGCTGAGAGCCCTAACGCAGGGTACAGGGATGTGGCACTGCTGTTGTGATGAAAGGATGCAGGTGAGGAGTCCCACCCCCTTCCCAGCTCTTTTTCCAGCATCACTGCACTGCAGCTCTCTCTCACCTCCATGAAGGTGCCTTCTGTCTTCCAGAGCTTGATGCAGATCCACAGCGGGATGCAGACCATGGAGGAGAGTGCCATCATCCACCCGATGCCGTAGCCCCAGTCAGGGTAGATGTACACATTGTTGTACTTCAGGGGCTTGTATTTCACCAGGAAAAAGATGAAGATTCCCTGAAACAAGCAGAGATATTGTCAGAGGTATTTGGGCAATCCCTGTGTGTGTAACAAGGATTTGGCTGAGTGTTTAGGCCAGGCCAGGCTCCCTGAGGAGGGAGAGCGGAGGGAAGCTCTTCCCTCAGAGCAAAAAACCCACCAGCAACATCTTCTTTTCTGTACAGCTTAAATAACACATCTCAGAGGCTCCTGCAGAAACGAGCAACCTTTCAAGTTTAATCCTATTTAACCTCTTGATGACAATAAACCCTGCACTTTGATGGCAAACAGCACCTGGGCAGGAAAGATTAAGTTTTGCTACAGTGAACCAGCTGTGATTAAATAATATGAGCTGGGTTCTCTCCAACCTGTCAGGATGAAAAATGAAAGCCAACATTTTTGAAGTTGCCTTAATCCACTGTGTTTATCTGCAGTTCCAATCCTGCTTTCATCCTGCCAAAACCCCTAAAAAATCTGTCTAAATTTCTAATCAAGCAGCTTGGACCATTTCAATGTATGAAATAGAGAAAAGCTACCATGTAATTTTCTCCAAAGTGGTGAAACGAGTACACAAGAGCCAACGGTATAGAGGTCATTTCAGATTTGGTGCAAATGGGTCAGAAATTTTCCTAAGTTTGCAAATGGGAGCCTGGATCTCGAGGTACCCCAGCTGCTGTGGTTTGCAGTTGCCATCACTGGAGTGTTACACAGCTGGAAGGGGTTTTGGCACCTCATCCTCAATTTTAAGGGCAATCAGATCATGCTGCTTTTGGAACTTTGTCCCTGTGATGCTGCCACAGCTCTGCAGAGCTGGCACCAGCTTCCTTCCCCTCCTTCATGCCAGTGGGATGAGTTTTTGGCCTCTCCTACTACTTTTAAAAGTAAAAAATGTCTTGTCTCCTTTGGAAAATATCCACTCCCCACAAAGAGAGAGGAGAAGGGAGGAGAAAGCAGCAAAGGACCCAGCACAAGTCTGGAGGAGCTCAGGCTGTGTATTGGCACACAAGGTGCACCAGCTACAGGGAAAAACATCTCTCTTGTTCTGGCAAATGTTCATTTAGGGCCCTGGCATTATTTTTGTTCCTATGATTGTACATACTAAGACTTTTCACAGAATATTTAACAATTTTACAGATCCTACAGTGTTTTTTATTTGAAATACATGCTACAAATCAACAGGCATTTCTCTCAACTATTAGCAGCAGCAAGAATAAAAAAAAAAAAAAAACAAGTACAGGAGCCCCTCTTTATATCTAAAACAAGTGTTTTGGACATTCTGTACTTACTGCACAAATACCTGGAGTTAGGACCATCCAGCACCACTTAATCAACGACACAGGTTTGTACCCAATCATGTCTTCAATGTTCTCATAAAAGCGATTGCTGCCTGCCCAAAACCAAAGGAAAAGCAGATGTAGAGTGTACATGGAAGGGGTTGTCCAGATCAGGATTTAAAGCAGTGAAAGACAGACAGGGGAAGGCTGAAGCTGCTCCTCTTTTCCTGGAAAACTCCTCCCTGCCATCTGCCCTGTGCTCGTGGTGGGGTTGATCTACAATTCCTGCTGCTATGAAACTTCTGGTGCTATAAAACTTTTATTTCGTACAGATCATTGTATCTCTTATCAGAGAGGGAGATTTCATTAGTGTAGCACAAGCTGTCACAAAAATATGAACATTTCATTTCGTCCTACTCTCCTTTTTCCTCCACACCTTGAGGTTTTTTTTTCCTTCAAAGCAAGTATAAACCTAATATATTCTGATTAGTTGGTTTATTCTCTTTGTTGTGGGATCAGTTTGTAAACAACTCCAGTCAAAGAGTATCTATTTTATATATAAATATATTTAGATGTTACATTTAGATGCTACAAGCTCATGTGTGAACCCAAGCATAGCTGGGCACACGTGATCTGCAGTTCTGTGGTGCTTTACAAAGTGAAATTATCCATAGTGTGCATCTTTGTGGAGAAAAAGGCATTTATGACTTTTTTTGGGGCATGAGAATGTGGAAGGTCCCATTCCATGAGGGTACAAGTTTCTCACTTTGCTTTTATGCAAATAGAAAGCTTTGATAAGAAAAACAGAGCAATTTTCATCACTCACCATACACCCAGCCTATGCAGACACACTCAAATATGGCCACAAAGAGCAGGCACATCCCACTGGCTGCATAGGAATCAAAGAGCTGGAAGACATACATCCCACCCTGGAAGAGAAATTAGGAAAGGGGAAAAAAAATTGGGTTAGCACCAGTGGGAATATTTCATAGCAAATCTCTTTTAATTACACTGTCAAGCTGTTGGCTCCCTAGCAAGCTTCCTACTCAAGCTGGCTCCTTCTTGAACAAAGAATATTAATTTCTTGGGTTTTTTTTTTAATTTTTTTTTTTTTTAACTCTGCACTTCTTTAAGGATGGTAAATCTGGAGTGGAGAGAAGTAAATTTGATTTTTTTTTTCCAAAAATGCTTTCTCACCTCCCTGCTTTTACCTCTGGTTTTTTTTTTATCACATCAAGCTGTAGATATTCCCAGGTGATTCTGGGATTAGCTGACTGACAGTCTGGACACATGCTTGGCCTTGATAGCCAAGGAAACAAACCACATCACTTTGGGTGAACAATCTCCACATTGCATTCTACTTTGGCACAGCATAGGCACAGCAAATGAGATAAGAATTGTTTTGATCATTCTTTTCTCTGCTTCTCTCAGGTTCAGAGTGTGAATCCCACAGAGCAGGGCAGCTCTCACCTCAGTTAACATGATGAGGCCGAGGAAGTAGGACACGACGGAGAGGCCGAGGATGAGCAGCTCCCTCCTGTAGCCCCTGCGGAACACCTTGGGGTACATGTCCACCACGGCTGTCACAATGCTTTCCACACACACAAACTGCAACAAATGACAGCAAAGATCCAGTCAAATCTTTCTCCTCAGTTGCTGGCATTGGGATTTGACACCTAACACTTTAAATATCCTCCTGTGTTTTCATCACTGAGGGTGGGTGATCCCTGGGGATGCTCCATAAGCAGAAACTCAAACTGAGAGGAACATCTCAGAACAGTGAAAAAGTCCAAAGTTATGGATTTCGACCAAATTCAAACAGTTGGATTCTCTAATCACAGAATCACCAGGTTGGAAGAGACCTTCAAGATCATAGAGTCCAACCTATTCCCTGACACCTCAGCTAAACCCTGGCCCCCAGTGCCACATCCAGGCTTTGTTAAACACACCCAGGGATGGTGACTGCATCCCTCTCCAGGCAGCCATTCCAGAACTTTATCAGCCTTTCTGTAAAAAACTTTTTCCTAATATCCAATCTTTATTTCCCTTGGTGCAGCTTGAGGCTGTGTTCTCTGGTTGTGTCAGTGCTGCCTGGAGAAAGAGCCCAGCCCCAGGTGAGCACAGGGACCTTTCAGGAGCTGTGGAGTGATAAGGTCACCCCTGAGTCTCCTTTTCTCCAGGCTGAGCACCCCCAGCTCCCTCAGTGGTTCCACACAGGGCTTGTGCTCCCAGCCCCTCTCCAGCCTCATTGCCCCCTCTGGACATGCTCAAGTGTCTCATCTTATCTCTAATATTATCCCAGACTGCATTTGCCCTGTAGCAGGTGGACTAAATGAAAATTAAACCTTGCAAATGTGGCTTGAATGAGAATTAAATAATGTACAAACCCTTCATGGGATCATGTCACTCCAGGCACTTTTGCCAATTTTGCCATGCATCCTCCAACCTGCTAAAGGAGCAGCAGGGTTTGGGGGAAGTTCTCTCCATTTACCAGAAGAGAGAAGTTCCCCAGAGCTGTGGAGTGCCCAAGCCAGGTACCTCTAACAAAGGAGGGCAGGAACAAGCAAAAGGCCTGAGCAGAATAGAGACTGGAATAGTCAAGAGCAGAATCCAGGAACTACTCACTTAAAAAAAAACCCAAAAAAACAACAAAAACTTTTAAGAACCTGTTAGATCATTAAGGAGATCAGTTATTAAAACATTAAATTTAAGGACTGAAAATGTCATGAAGAATGAGCACTGCTGAGCTCTAGAATCATAAGCTTTCTGTACCCAGTCATGCCAAAGACTGAGCTGATTGCTAAAAATCCCAGGCACTTCACATTTGTCTTCGAGCAGCTTTTGTAATTTTTACAGTCACACAGGGACAACGACTTCTGTGCTGCCCCTTTGCTGCAGGATATGACTACACATTCCTTGCTATGGTATCTTGCAGTAAAAATACACCATAGAAAATTACATTATCCCTATCTGATATGCAGCTTCAAAATTCATTGCCAAGTGCTTTAAGAATGGGCTGGTATTTTACTCAAGCATGAATTTTAATCAGCCCTGTTGAAGTTCAGACTGATTTCCATGTTAATAATGAAAGCTGGAGTCAGGCTGAACCAGCCTTTGCAGTGAATCATGAAGGAATAGCCAGCATCACAACTAAGATGTAAAATAGCAAAGAATCAAGTTAGGGTTCAGTCTTTCATCAAGCTGATGCTGTTTAGGTGTGATTTCCATCTGTTGGGGAGGCTAAAAACTCATTGCAATGGGGTTTGTTTCATACCTGACTGTCCAAGCCCAGGAAGATGAGCATCATGAAGAACAGAGCTGCCCACAGAGGAGACAGAGGCATCATGGTGACAGCTTTAGGGTAAGCAATGAATGCAAGCCCTGGTCCTGAAAAGGAGTAAAGAAATGAAAAGTTTATACTTGTGTGGGAGTTTGAGATAGAGTTCAGCTCCTCCAGAGCAGCCTGAGCTGTGGGAGCACAGCATTGCTGACACCAAAAGTGTGGCTCTGGCTGAGCAGGGCTCTCAGCATCACTTTTCAGACTGTTCTATCTGAACGCAGCCATTTTCTCACTTTTCCTCTTCCTGCTCCCTTGCCCATCCCCTGTGGAAGCTGAGAGAGTGAACAGCAGCGAGGATGCCCAGCTGCTGCTCAGGGTCAGCCCACCACAACCTGATTCTTCTGCCATGGCAGATAAGAACTAAAACCAAGACTGAACTCCTTGACAAACTCTACATCTCTCATAGTCTAAACAGTTGGTGATGAGGCTTATCAGAAATGGCACAACCCTGCCTGCATCCTGGCCAAAGGATGTTCAGCTTCTCTTCAGACATCCCAGTGCTTTCTGTTCCCCTTTTTTGTGTGGATGTGCAGCTCTACAGACATCCCTGAATAAATCATAGCGTGTGCTCCTGTGATTGCCTTATATAACTTAGGAACACATCCTGGACTCTTTATATATAACTTAGGAATATATCCTGGAGTCTTTATTTTTCTCCTAACCTGGTGCAAGGCAAAGGTTGCTTCCCATCCTGCTTTGTGTTTTGTGGTGCTGCTGCTGTGTGACATGGGCTACATATTTAGAGAAATCTTCAAAATAGAACATTTTTGTAACAACACTGATTACTTCTCAGAGCTGCTAAGATATCTTCTCACCTTGCTCATGTTTTTCTGTTTTTCATTTTTTTTTTTTTTTTTTTTTTTTTTTTTTTTTTTTTTTTTTTTTTTTTTTTTTAATTTATCAGCTGCTTTTTATGAAGGCAGCCAGCTTTCAAAGCAGGGGCACAAAGGCCATTCCCCAGCCACTAAAGGAGCGCTCTGCTCCCGCTGCAGTAACTTCAGTGCAGACCAGTTACACTCTGCTGCTTTTTCATTTAAAGCAGCATTTATAAGTTCCTATAATGAATTGCAAGCCAGTTGCATGGAATTTAGGAAAAGATAAATATTTTCCATGAGAGCATCAATGAAACCCTGCTTGTTTTGCAGTTTTCCGGGGATTAACTCCATGAGAGTCATTTTTCCTCCTCAACAGCTCAGCATTACATTGGGGTTTTTTTGGAGGGTGCAGCCTCCTGTTATTTTTTTCTGCTTGAGGATGTTACAGCCACAAAGGTGTGGAGTAATTTCCTTTGGCTGCCCAGCTCCAGTGGTGGTTGTGGATGGTTAATTTTTCATAAATCTGGGCCTGTGTGCCCTTCTGATTTCTCACTTTAACAGCTGCAGCTTTTCTTCTTTAATATCCTTTTAGTTTTTTTTTTTCCAATCCAGAAGGAATAAATATTTGTGGATTTCAGTCTGTCTCATTGAAAGAAGGTGGAATGCAGATGAGGATTAACACTCACAACTCTGCTAAACAACATTCTGGATGCTCAGCTGGAGTAAGTTTGTGTAGCAGGGACCCCTTGAATTCATGATTTTGGTTTTATGCACAGCAACATTCATCTTTTTCACACACAAATGTATGGCCACAAAAATAGTTCAGAATTCTTCCTGCAGCAGTTATTCCATTGAGTCATCTCATCCACAGGCCATGGCACAGACTGTGAACTCTGGCCTCACCCTCTGGGCATTTCTTGTTAACTCAGAAATCTGCTTTTGGAACTCACCTGATTCTGCAACTTCTGCAATGGGCACGCCTTGTTCATAAGCCATAAATCCAAGAACTGAAAAGATAGCAAAACCAGCAACAAAGCTTGTGCCACTGTTCAAGCAGCAGAGCATGATGCAGTCTCTGAAAATATAAATAAAAAACACTGCAGTTGATCTCCAGAGCTGGGGTTTCTTCCATCCGCTGAGCCAGAGGACTGACAGAACCCTGGGCTGCAGGAATGGAAAGCAAGTTGTTCATTAACAGTGAGGTCCCAACTCAGATTATTCCTGAGAGCAACCAGGAATTAGCAGGTGCAGGAGGACACCATCAGAATATCCTTGCTTGTGTTTTAACTGCTGGAGTTTATTTGTTGCAAGTCACTTGCTGTTTTCCAGAAAAATCTTTAAAAAACACGCAAAACTATGTCAAACATGTAATAATTGTTAAGAACAATTTCTCCATAATAATTATGCTAATAGATTCCAGAGGGTGTGAACTCATTAATAAACTCTATAAAATGGTAACTGGAGACTCAGACATGGACAAGTGCAGCGATGTTCACACTTCTTTCATGCCAGGACACTCTCTAACACTGTTCATTTGCAGCGAAATACTTGCTGAAAATACAATTCTAAACTTTATTCATTTGCTTTTCATTGAAATTCTCCCCGTAGTTATGCCCAGCCAGGCCAGTTCTACACTTTGGATGTTTTAAAGCAAAATAGCAATCCAAAATAAAGGACTGAGGAGCACAGAGGCCGTTGTGCTTAGCAAAGATAAAAAAAAAAAAAAAAAAAAAAAGAAAAAAAAAAAAAAAAAAGAAAAACCAGCCCCTTCTCAGTGAAACTCCGCTCTGAAGGGACTCTCACCCCACCTCTCTCACCTCAGGAACTGGTGAGTTCAACACCGAGAAATTGAAACTGAGTGTGACGTGTTGGTAGGAGAGGCCAGAAACATGAAATTTATAATCCTCTGGGAGGAAAAGAGAGCTCATGCTTTGGGGGGGATGCAGCCAGATGATGCCTCCACTGGACATAGGCTGTTTTCTTCAGATAAGATTTGGTTTAGATAATTCCCTGCTTCAAATGCTGTCTGAACAAGATATTTCCTTCTGTGGTACAGCATATTTGAGAGCTCCCTGAGTGGGAGAGACAGGCTGGAACCCCCAACAGTGATTCCTCAGGTTTTAGCTTTTATGCAGCATCCCAGGTGAGTTGGGGGGGTGGAAATGGAATGCCGTGGGAGGACATCCTGTTTGAGTGACACCCTGAGACTCTTCCCCACAGTCCTCTAGTTTCTTCTGGTTCTGTATGTTAATGACCTCAGTGACATCATCCCTGTTCTCCTCCCCAGTTCTGGAAAGTTCACTGCTTCTGGTTTCCCCATTGGCTTACCTTTGTAGACACTCCTCCCCTGTATCCCCGTTGGATGTTTCCCCCAGACCCTGCCTTCATTCCACCCCTGATCCCTTTACCCATTGGCCCTCAGACTGACACCCCACCCACTCCAGGCTGTTTATAACCCCTGCACCCTGCTCTGTTTGAGCTGTTCTGTTCCTGAATCCTTTGAATGTGCTTGTTTTTAAATTGCCATTGGAAATTGATCCAAAGAGCCTCTCCTGCTTTTCTCCGTAGGCATGTGTTTACCAACTGGCTGTGCGAGTGTCTGGTGCCTGCCTGAGCTCTCCACCTTCTCCAGAGGAAGGCCCTCTTGGGAGCGTGGCTGTCTCGGCATCATCTGCTGTGTGGTTACACTTTCATATTCCTCTGTTCCAGGCCAGCCTTCCCAAGGCATCAGCCCCTTAAAGTGGGGCAGAGCCCAGCTGGACAGTCCCCCAGAACAAGAGGATTGCAGGGATCTCCTCTCTCAGGAAACTGTGGCAAACCACAGCACCGTGGTACAAATTATCAGCAGGATAAATACACATTTCTCCTAGGAAATAGGAAGAAGGGGATTTTTATCCTGCCCAGCCAGTGAGGTTCCTGTTCATTTCAGATAACACCACCCCAGCTGAATGGTTTCATCCCAGGGAGGCAGTCACAGACTGAACACAGCTCCTCTTGGGACCCTCATAAAAATATAACCTCCAGTTTCCCTTCCCTTGGCTTTGCAGGAGTTCTACCAACCCCTCAGCTCCTGGTTTTTATCCCACAGGCAGAAGTACCCTGTAGTTCAGGTATTTTTTTCTGCTGTGGGAAGAAAAGCCAGAAGGGGGATATCTGGATCCATTAATTGTGAAACCAATAAGTTTTAAAACAGGAGCCATGGGAAGGTCAACATGAATTTCTTATGTGCACCCTTGGCAGGAGGACATCAGAGCCTGACTGAAGCACAGACTGATTTCAAGTGAAAGGAAAACTTCAAATTTTTATGAAATCTTCACATTCTTCCAAATTAACGTCCTGCCAATCAGCTGAATAATTCAAGATGTGCATCACTTCTCCTCTCCCTGTCAGACAGGCAGGACATTTCTGAAAATTCATCCTGCCTACCTTAAGGAGCCTCTCTGAGCCCACAGAGCCTCTGGCATCCCTCCAGTCCCTTCCTTGTTTTTATGGATTCCTCAAGACCCAGTTGAGAAATTCCCATTTCTCTTTTCCTCCTGGACTAGAAACTTGACAAAGGACAAATCTTCAGGTCTTAAAAGTTTTGTCCATGTGTGTAATCACTCCTTTATCTCCTGCTCCACAGTGGGAACAGGGGAGCTGACCCTGGACTTGTACCTGGGAATGGATTTGATATTCTGAGCTGAATAAAAATCAGAGGAAACATTGGTACATCTGTCTGTGATCCCTGTGGGGAAACACTGCCAGGGTTTCACCTTCTCACAGGAGTCACTTGGGATGCAAACTCTGGGGCATCCAGGGAGGAGCAGTTTTTATGTTTTTCAATGAAAGATATGTAAGAATGATAAAAACTCATTTCCCATTCAAAGACATGAAGTGACTTTTGCAATTCATTTATCACATTAATGAACTAAATCAGGTTTAAATCTTTAAATTCTTTAAATTTAAATCTTTAAATTCACAAGGCCCATGTGCAGTCCTGACTTTCCCATTTCCCACTGAAATACCTCTTGCCATTATTTTCTCCTGCAATTTTCCCTTAGAAAAGGGAAGTAAATGGAGTAAAAAAGAGCAGAAAACATTGATGTTATGATCAGACTGTGGGATTTTCATGAGGAAAAAAACCATCACATTAATGAACTAAATCAGGTTTAAATCTTTAAATTCTTTAAATTTAAATCTTTAAATTCACAAGGCCCATGTGCAGTCCTGACTTTCCCATTTCCCACTGAAATACCTCTTGCCATTTTCTCCTGCAATTTTCCCTTAGAAAAGGGAAGTAAACGGAGTAAAAAAGAGCAGAAAACATTGATGTTACAATCAGACTGTGGGATTTTCATGAGAAAAAAAAAAAAACTTAGCTTGATTTTATTAATTTTAAGTGCTGGTTAGAATACAAAATTGTGGTTCTCACATCAGAGCTCTGTTTATGTCTTGCCCTGCCCAACTTGGCCACATTCTGCTCTTCCCTGCTGTCCTGCCCCTTCCCTCAGACTCGTTAAAATCACATGTCAGGACGCATTAACATCGATTTCCCAGCTGAGAAATTTGGGAAATGTTTTGTGAGGGGAATTGTGGAGCCTGGATGGAGTAAAAGGTGTTTGGCTGCAGCATCCTGCTCTGGATCTTCAGAGCAGAGTTTTACCAGCTGAGCCCCAGGGTCAGAGGAAAGGAAGGAAAATTCTTGAATCCAAACTCCTGCTTTTTGTAAAACAAAGAAACCTCAGGAAAAGCATTCCTGCACTCCCTGAGGTACTGACAGTTACTAGCTGGGATACAGCTGGAAAAAATATAAAAAAAACTGAGTAAGAGAGGAGAGGAATGGTGCCTTTGCTAAAGCTTGTGCTAATTAGGGGAAAGGTTCATTAGCAGCAGCTCTGGAGGTTGTAGAGGACTCACACCACTTTCTGCAGCAAAACATTTTGCTAAGACATGGAAAGAAGGAGCATTTCCTAAAACTGTCCCCTGAGGTCTCCAAGTAAAACTGTAATTTAGAATTTAAATAAATTTGGGGGGTTGGAGGTGGTTTGTTTAGGATTTTTCCACTTTTGGACTGTGTTATTTCCTTTACAGAAAAAATGAAATACTAATTCTCTGTCTGGAGATCTTAATAGAGTTACTACAACCAAACTGTCCTTGTAGGAATTTTAGGAGAACTAATTCAATAACTATGAATTCCAGAAGAAAAGATTGGTGCTCATATTGCTGTCTATGCCAGTAACATGGAACAGGGATTTTGTGCAAATCAATCCTTTGGGCATTGACTCAGGAGAGATGAAAACCTCCTGAAGTCATTGACAATTCCCTCCTTGGGAATACAGAGATAAGCCACGAAATGCTCCCCATTCCCTCTGGGCTGGGGACTGCAAACTTCCCAAAAAATGGGGAAAAGTGGCAGTCAGAGCATAGACCAAACTGAGGTGATTTTTAATGACAATTTCTGGTAGTAGTTTTCAAAAGGCAGCTTAAGTAATGCACACACATTCAATGATACCTGTCTGAAATCCTGCATTTTTACATGAAATGTCCATCTCTGTGTGTGCTGAGGGGCTGTGGAAGGCTCAGGTTTGACCAAAAGGGATGAAAACGCCACATTTTGGATCAGAGTTCCTCTGGAGCAGTTCCAAGAAACATTACAGATCTGTGTCCTACAAAACCACGTGTGTGTGCTTATGGTTATCCATGGAAAAAGGGGAGGGCAAGTGATTCCAAATGTCACCCCAAGAGCAGAATTCCAGTCTGGAGGGCGTTACCTGTAGCAGTTGTTGTTGTAGTTGTTGTAACTCCCCAGGGCTGTCAGGCACCCCAAGCAGATGGCGTAGGAGAAAAAGATCTGTGTGCCAGCATCCACCCACACCTGGAGACAGAGAGCAGGGAGAGCTTCAGAGAGCAGCCAGGAGAAATCACCCTCCTGCCAAACACGGGCTGCAGACCTGCACAGATGGCTCTGCAGGTTAGGAGGGTCTGGCAAAGCTTTTACAAATCATAACCTTAAAAAAAATAATGTGCTGAGAGGGAAATTCCCCTCCCCATCCCAGCTGGTCTCTACAGGCGCAGCCTAAAGGGAGACAGAATTCCTAGAATGAGAAGGGAGTCAGAATTTCCATTCCTAGAATGGAAAGGGAGATGGAATTCCTAGAGAAGAACCTCACCCATTAAATTCATTAATTGCTCTTAGACAGTTTTAGTAATTGCAGCCTAAATAGAATCACCTGCATTTATCTCACTCCCGTTGGACAGTTACTTATTCAAATTTAAAAATGTAGCATGAATAAATGCTCTAAAGACAAAATGTGCTATTCCTAGATAATACATAAATTAAGCTGGGGAAAGAAGGGATAACTTATCCAGGGAAAGGATGTTTTCAGCAAAATTTAGTGGATCCAACAGGCACAAAGTTACAGTTCTGGTCACTGTACAATCAACAAATAAAAGTTCTGTAGAGCTTAACGAGTCAGTAGCTTTGTAATGCCATTGTGGGAACATTTGTATCCTAAAGTAATGCAAACAACTTTAAATCAGCAAAAAGGAAGCGTGAGTTGACACAGTGAGATTCTTCTCAGAACAACCTCAGAAAAACACTAATGAGCAGGTTCATTTTACTTCAAAAGTATTGCAGCAAAGCCATTTATTTCACTTGACCAGTGTGGGTGTGTTCCCACTGGAGCTGAAGGTACCCCTTGATGTCCTGGATATGGAGAACCCACACCCACAGAGCTGTCATCCAAAAAAATCCTGCTCCTGTTTTCCTGGGATAAATGATCTCTGAGTTAAAGCAGAACGACCAAAACACCAAACCCTGAGAGATGATCAGAGGCAGTGGCTGTGCAGCCATTCCCTGCTGAAGTTGGAGCCAGGGAAGAGGGAGCACAGCAATGATTTCAGTACTAATAACAGCCATCAAATCCTCCTAAACACACAAAGGGAATGTGTTTGTTTTACAGCTGATCAAGTGAGACCTTGCTCTCTGGAGCTGTTGAGTGTTTCTGTTTAGAAATAACATTAAGATCACATTTGATTTACATCAGAGGCTTAAAGGGTTTCGTTGCTGTCACCCTGAATAAGACACAGCTGGTTACATCCCAGAGCCTCACCAGGAAAAGCTGCATACAGAGAGGTTTTGACAGACAGGCTCTTTAACAAGACTGGAAGCTCCCAAAAAGCTGTGAGGAGCGTGGGCCAGCTGAAAATACTCCTGACAATGTCTGCTGGGGCCCAGACAAAAGCTGGGAAACTGGATCAGCTCAGGTTCCTTCCCTTCCCTCCCTGCCCTCCCACAGCTGCAGGGCAGGGCACTGAGAGGAGCAGCAGCCCTTGTGCTGGCACAGCCCCACAGGGGTGATTGTCCCTGCTGGACCTGGGCCCAGAGGAGAGCTGTGCTGGAAGGGAGCAGCTCCAGAGCTGCTGGAGCACAGGAGCAGAGAGCACATCCCTCTGGACCCCCTGTGCCACACAGAAAAGCAGATCAAACTCTGGCATCACTCTCTGAGCATCACTCATCACGAGGGATGCTATGTCCTTCAAAGGAAACAAAGACTGTCACATCCCACAGGGAGTCAGCCTAAAAAGTGGCAAACCCTCTGAGGAACCTCTTCTGCAAGGAAACAGTCACATATTCTCGAAAACTGGAATCAGACTGAAGAGAGGTTTTGTTGCACTCTATGACATCAGTCTAGAAACTCCTCAGAACTTAGGACTGATATTTAAATAGGAATGGAGAAGCAATTTTATTTGCTGAATGGAAGAATACAATTTGTATAGCTTCTTTTGGGTTGTATGCTCAGAGAACAAGTGACGTTTAATCCGTTCAGGTTTCTAAAGTGGCAAGAAGTGATCAGCAAAGAGGCAAACAGGAACATAAATTTAGAAACCACAGGTAGATTTTCTGTGGCTGAAAAACCCAAGAGCAGGAGTAACCCTGGTGTTAACTGCCAGATACACCAACACTTTCCAGCCCTGAAGGTGGCATTTCAGATCAGTTCTCCATCTCCTTCCCCAGCAGCCAGGGGCCATCTGACATTTAGCCTCAGGCTGCAGCACTCAGTTCGTGGCAGGAGGATTTGGTGAGGCCTCAAATTGTTCATTAGCCTGATTGTTCATTAGTCTGTGTCACCCCAGTTTGCTCATTCCCAAAAGGCACCTCAGGGGAAGTTGTTCTCATTCCAACTTGGTGGGCTCTTGTAGACACCAATCCCAAATCCAGGTGCCATCCAGGTGCCAGCCACCCGGCTCTCAGTCACAAAACCATTATGGGATATTTCTGAGAGTGCTGAGTCTGCCTCAAAGCAGAAGTTGTTCCCCTTTCCATGCAGAGCAATGACATTCTGAAGGGCAGGGACACAGAGGAGGAGCTGGGGCAGCAGCTGGGACCAAAGAGGACATTGGTCTGGAAGGTGACACAGCTCAGTACTTCTCTGCCATGAGGAAAGGACCTGAGAACACCAGAGAACACCCTGTGGGTGCTTCATGAACTTTGGGCCTTGAAAACCCTTAAGTCAGTGATAATAAATTCAATTTATCACTCACAAACTTGGGATTGGAATTGTTTTCTAGTTTCTATAAGCTCCTACCTTAAAGAATGGAAATAGACTTTTTTAGCTTTATTCATCTCTTATTAAAAGTTTCCATGCCAAAACAAGATTAAAATTAAAGCTCAAATACTTCGATAACTAACCCTAATATTTGAAAAATTGCAACTTCAAAGGACAGAACCTTACAAAACAATAAACAGGAGCATTTTCTACTAAAAATGGAAAGTGCTGCTCTGCAACATCCTGCTCTCAAGTCTGGCAGCGCCCCCGTTTTAAGTCTGTCTGGGTAACCTCAGTTTGCCCTTCTTGTGGCAGCTCTAGGACACAGTCTCCATTTCCATGGGTGTTTTCTCTGCCCAGGGAGATGAATTGAGCTGCCCAAACACAGGATGCTGCTGTCTGGAGGATGCCCTGCCTCCTTTGTAGCTCATGCAATGAAAGCAGGATAAGGAAGAAAGAAGGGGGATGTGCTGTAGTGCAGACAACAGAGCCCTGCTCTGGAGAATTAGGATCTTTTCATGTCCCTGCCATAAAGTTTCTATGGGATGTTATGTCCATAAATCACTTCAAGCAACCTTTTCTCACATGTTCCTTGACTTGGCTGTCCCCCAATGGGTGTCCAAAGCAAAGGAGAAAGTTACTGCTGCAGATAAAGTGAATTAAAGTCACTTCTTGAACAACTGAAAAACACCAGAGTTGAACAAACCAAATTGAAAATCCTCAGAAGAGTGACAGTCCCTCGTTTTAGTCTCAGGATAAATGTCTTTCTGTCAGTAAGATGGGGTCATGCCATCCACTGAAAATAAAATAAATTAGGTGTCTGAAGCACATGGCCAGTGCAGAAATAAGTCATTTTGCAAGGCTGAGTCAGTTTTTTTGTGATGATCAGGCCTTGTGCAGTGAATTTAGGGGGCCAAGCAAGGGCTGAGAGGGACAAAACAAAATATTGCATAACTGTCCTGAGATGAGTTCAGTGCCTGAGCAAAGCAGAGACCTCAGGGACAACCTGGGATGTGTTGATGGTGATTATTTCCATCAGGCACGGAATAAAAAGCAATATCGTCAGGTGGAATAAAAAACACTTAATGGAATTGTTGTTTCTTTTGGGAAAAAAAAAAAAACCAAAAATCATGGAATAAAAAGCAGTTCCTTCAGGTGGAATAAAAACCAATTAAAGGAATTGTTGTTTCTTTTGGGGAAAAAAAAAATCATGGAATAAAAAGCAGTTCCTTCAGGTGGAATAAAAACCAATTCCTTCAGGTGTTCACCTGAATGAATATCTCAAATTCCAGGGGTTTCTCTAACTTTGTACTTTCCCTTTGCTTTCTGTGCTCTCTGGATATATTTTGAACAAGCTACAGTGCAGCTGTTGTGAAATCTTTCTGTGGATGCAGGAAGCATCTCCCAGGACACTCTGACTTTAACTGGCACTTCCTGTATGACAAACAGCTGAATAAACTCAACAATTTTTTGTAGTTGTGTAAAAAAAAAAAAAAAAAAAAAATTGTGTAAAATTGTTCCATGTTTGGGCAACATAGGAAAATCAGGCAGCTCTTTTCAGCCTGATCCTCCCAAAAGAGAGGCAGGGCTTTTTAAAAAATGAAAACATATTCTGTTGCCACCTGAGAAGGTTCATTTTACAGCCCAGGGGCTGATGTGCAGCTTCCCTCGTGTGGGTAAAGCAGCACACACATCCCCCCTTCTCTTTTGGCAGCATTCTAAATTCCATCTCACAGGTTTGTGTGCAGTTCCATTTCACAGATCCCTGGGACGCTGCCCAGGTGACAGTCTGGGGTTCCAGTGCCATGCTGAGCTGAGGGAGCTGCCACATCCAAGGGTCTCCATGAGAACAGCAACAACAACAGAGCACCAGGAGGGTTCTCTCAGTAAATAGAATTAATATATTGGTTTTCTGTCTGTCCCTGGCCTTTCCTACAGCCCACACAGCTCTGTTTGCTCCCTTGAGAATTCCTGTCAAAATCAGAGGTATTAATTTCACATTGAAGCCCAAGCACTGGCTGGGATCTGCATAAATATCCACTTTTTTTCTTTTTCCCCCTCATTCTTTACAGTGAGGTTGAACACCAAGCTGAAAGCATCCTTAATTCCAGAGTGTAAGTGACAATCCCATCATCAAGCACTGCCTGAGAATACGGGAGAGCTCACAGAGCAGTTAAAACCTCTGCTTGCTCTTTAAAACATTATGTTCCAAATGTTGACAGTCATTTATTTCCCATTTTGTTATCAGAGAACAAGCAATCACTCCAGGTTTTCTTTTAATTTAAATTATTCATTACTTTTTGATGAACCTCAGCAGTGTTTGTAT